AAAAAAAAAAAGGTAGCGTGGATAAAAGCAGATACGAAAGCAATTTTAGCAATACACGAACACGTTATAACAAACAATGCAAGGCTATCGGTTACCCATAACGATTACAATACTTGGACGTTAAATATAAGAGGAGTTAGAAGAGAGGATAGAGGGCAATATATGTGCCAAGTAAATACGGATCCGATGAAAAGTCAGGTAATACTTACAAAAAGAAGAAGTGGTGATAAAAAAGGAAAAAAAATTATTTATAAAAAACTTTTTCTTTTTTTAGACTGCATTTTTAGAAGTAGTTATACCACCCGATATTATTTACGAAGAAACATCTGGAGATTTGATGGTCCCCGAAGGAGGTTCTGCAAAACTTGTTTGTAAAGCTAGAGGACATCCAAAACCAAAAGTCGTTTGGAGAAGAGAAGATGGTGGTGATATAATCGTTAGAGGTGGAACTTCTGCTAAATCGAGAAGTATGAGTTTCCTTCCCATTTTCCGATATTTTCCTCACACACGAGAAAACAATTTTAAACTTTAAAAAAATTTTCCAGTGCCTTCCGTCGAAGGTGAAATGTTAACTTTAAGTAAAGTAACAAGATCCGAAATGGGAGCCTATTTGTGTATAGCAGCCAATGGTGTACCACCATCCGTCAGTAAAAGAATGATGCTTCATGTACATTGTAAGTAAATGATAATAATAATAATAATAATAAAACAAACAAACAAACATAAATAATCGTCGTCGTCGTTTCTATTTATTAACAAATCAAGTTTGTAAATAAAAAAAAATTTTTTTTTTGGAAGGGGAGGGAAGGAGGAGGAGGAAGAAGGATTTAAGTAAAAATTCAAAAGGTTTATTCGACCGAATTGAACCTTTTACTAAAACCTTTAGTGTCATTTCATTACCTCTTTTACACAAAAATTAAAACTTTTAATACAAACATTTGTTTTCACGTTTTTTATTCCTAAGCTAAACAGATAATTTGACCAAATCCAAAACATTAACTTTTACTGCTTGTAAAACAGATTTGAAATTTTTACACGTATCCCCCCTAACCCTACCCCGCCCTCTCCTCCTCCACCCCCCACCGACCGACCGTCATTTAAATAAATTTTTCCTTTTTTTTTTTTTTTTAAAACGGAAAATTATTTACGACTTAATAAAAATTGAAACGAATTTATAAAAAAAATTCCTCGATATTAAACCCCTTAAAAAAAAAAAACAACGATGATAATAATAATGATGATAAATCAAATGATTTGGAAATTTTTTTTTTATTAATCAATCGCACAATATTCATTGCCTTACGTAGACCACAAAATCATCCCTCCATGTAAATTTTTTTTTTTTTTTTAGATAAATATAAATAAAAAGATCAAATTTATTTATTTATTTTCTTAAAATTTCAATATAGAGTTAAAAAGGGGGAGGAAGAGGGTGAAATAAGTTTGATGATGATAATAATAATAATTTATATAAATAAAAAAAAAAATGCTGACGATTGGGATGATCGGTTGAGCTGGATTTCACAGCTTATCAGTCAAGAAACAGGCAGAAAAACCATTTTAAGAGATCGATTTGCCATCAATAAGACATGTATCGTAAACATTTTCTTTTTTAATATAAATTTTTTTTTTTTTATCGAGAAAATAAGAAGAAAAGTTTTTTTTTTTGAATATATTTTTTTTTTTAATATCGAATTACTAGGCCGATTTAAAATCCTTATTTCCATCCCCTTTCTCCCCTCTTCCCAATCGTTTTCTAATATCATTAATAATAATAATTTTTTTTGATAGAGAGATCGATTCATTTTTTTTTTTTTTAAATTATAAATTGGATAAGTTTTAAAGAAAGAAAGAAAGAAAATACCAAACAACAGCAACAACAACAACAGGAAAGGAAAAGAAAAAAATATTTTTTTCCCCCCTTGTTTCGAGGTTATTTTTTCGAAAAAAAAAAATAAAAGAAAAAGTAACGAAATTCGTCACTGTCATTGACACCCGCCCCGCAATAAACAGAATATCGATAATCCTATCGCATAAATGTGTGTGTGTGTGAGTGCGTGCGTGCGTATCAAAAGAGGAAAAAGTTAAAAAAATGAAAAGACAGCAGGAGTCACAGGTTAGGTTGTGAGAGGGGGGAAGGACCCCCATATTGCATATCGATTTTGACGGGAGTCAAAACATTGATCGAAACGTCATCTGATATTTTTTTTATTTCTCATGAGACTCTTAGACTTTTTAACAATTTCTTTTTCGAAGAAGAAAAAAGGAAACGGAAATGGGGGAAAACTATTGCGTCGTAAAATAAAACCAATTGATATTTTTTTTTTGCGAATTCATTTTCCTTCTTCCACGTTTTTCTCTTATCACACTCATAATAAATTAAAATAAAATAATTTGTTTTTTTTTCTCATAAAGTTCATCCACTTATTCAAGTTCCCAATCAATTAGTAGGAGCTCCAATAGCAGCCGACGTTGTACTTCATTGTCACGTGGAAGCATCGCCAAAAGCAATTAATTATTGGACCAGAGAATCTGGTAAGTCCTTTTTTTAATTTTTATCATTCATCCCCGAATCGTTATAAAAAAAAAATAATAACATTGAAACTATAGTTACCAAGTGTTTATTATTATGAAGAAGAACCTTCTAGAACCTTCTAGAAAAGTCCGACGTTTACCGGTTACTTGGTATTATTCATGAAATGACTGACAATGACCTTTTTGTTATCATCAATATAAAGAATTCTTCTGGCTAGTTGGTGTGTTATTATTATGATTAACACGAACGCAGGAAACCAAAAATAATAAAACAGGATGCAATAAACATTGAGGAGGAAGAAGAAGTAGAAGAAGAAGAAGAGAATATGAAAGGATGATGAAATATTGAGAGTTTAATTAGTAGATAAGCAACAAATACTAGCTCTATCTATCTCACTCTATCCATCTATTCTTCTCTTTCTCTGTCATATAGCCATCTGTAAATACTTAACGGTCTATTAATTTCCACCATAAAAGGTTTTCAAATTTTCTCACTTTTTTTTTTTTTAAATATAAAATTTTATGTTTAAATTCATTCATTTAAGATTATTAAAAAAAAATTAAACCACACACGTCCATTTTGTTTTTTTTTTTTTTTTTTAAATTTTTCGGCGTTTTATACCCATCCGATTTTTATAAATATATAAATATTTATACTTAAATAATAATGATAATAATAATAAAAATAAAAATCTTTAAAAAAAAATTTTTTTTTCCCAATGAATTCAGATGAATTAAATAAGAGAAAATTTTAGTGATTTCCGGACATGGAAGAGGAGTGTCCAGGTCATTTTATTCCAGGCCCTTCGCTCTCTCATTCTCTCTTTCTCTCTCTCTCTCTCTGTCTCTCTCTCTCTCTAATGCGAGAAATATGCAAATAATAATTAATCCCGTTCAACTCCACATCACTTGCTTTTCTGATTGTTTTTCATTTCCACAATTTTATTTATTTTACCATATTTATTTTTTAAATAATAATAATAATAATAATAATATCATCAATAAAAGAAAAAAGAGAGAGAAAGAGAGAGAGAGAAAGAAAAAAAAAATTTGTTTTTAAATCTATCTCTCTCTCTTTAAAAAGATTTGAAATCGTGGTAAGAAAATATAGTAATTAAAAAAATAAATTTTACCAAAATGAAATCGTTGGGAACAAATGAATGAATGAATGATTTGATGATGATGATGATGATGATGATGATGATTAACGAGAGATGATAAACAAAAACAATATTTTATACCACGACGGATGCTGCGGTGGCGGAAAACAGCGACGACGAATAAAACAAATTTTTTTTTTTTTTTTTTTTTTACATTTACCACGTGTGACTTAACTTGTTCCTGTAATAATAATAATAATATTAAATGGGTATTTTAATAAAAAAAAAATTTACTTAATTAACGGAAAAGCGAGGACGGGGGGGGAGGGGAAGATAAAAGAAAAGAAAAAACTCTTGACTGGTTACTGGTATTTTTCTGGTGGGAGCATGAGGAAAAATAATGTTTCATTGATTGCAGACAAACAAGTTTTTATAAAGATGATGACGGGTTGGGGGGAAAGGGGGGGAGGTTTGTTCAGCATCAAAATATAATATGAAGATGGAAAAGAAAACTTAATTAAGTTGAAAATAAAGGCGAGCTTTCACCCGAGAGTTTTCAATTAAAATATTGCCTCCATTAAATAAATTAGGAACTTGGTTTTTTTTTTTTTTTTTGTGAAATTTGTTGGTTTTTATATAAAATTCTTAAAACGTTGTTTGTTGTAGGGGTCAACTTTTGTAAGCACCTGGAAAAACTCAACTTTTTCTAATTATTATTATTATTATTATTATTTAATTTTTTTTATAAATCGAATTACTTAATGTTACATTTGATTTGTTTTTTTTTTTTTGGTTTTTTATCATCGAGACATTTTTTTTTACGTTTTGTTAATTAAATTATTATTATTATTATTAGAGGTATCAGGTTTGTAAAAAAAGAAAAATCATTTTCTTGACAATATATATATATATATAAAAAATAAACGTTCGAATGGGATTATTGGAAACTTGGTGTCGAAATTTTCTTATTGGAAAATTTTCTAAAATGAGACACATGAGTACAAACATAGTGCTGGACAATTTCCAAACCCTTTTTTTGGGATATACAATTATTTATTAGTTACTTTTTTTTTTTTTAAAAAAAAAAAACCTTTTTGAAACCGTAAATGGCGGTCGAAAAGTTATATAAATTGTTCTATTAAAACGAATCATTATTATTATTATTTTTTTTTTTTCTATTCCAGGAGAAATGATAATAAGCAATGAAAAATACAAAATGTCAGAAACAAGTAATTCATATTATTCAGTTCAAATGAGACTCAGCATAAAATCACTTTCGAAAAATGATATGGGGGGTTATAAGTGCATATCAAAAAATTCAATTGGTGATGCCGAAGGAAATATTCGCCTTTATGGTAATTATTATTATTATTATTTTAATTATTTCCCCGGCGGGGGGGGGAGTCGGAGTAAAACAAAAAAAAATTATTTATTTTTCCCAACGAAAAAATAATATTATTATTATTTACTTGATAAAAGAAAAAAGAAAAACACGCGAAAATAATAATGATAAAAGTAAATAAAGAAAAATGAAGAGAAAAACAAATAGAAAATTAGAAAAGTTGCGAAAGGGGGAGGGGAGGGGGGAGGGAAAAATTCAAGTGCGGTACATGTCGGCTCGAAAAATAAATAAAAAAAAAAAAAAAAAATTATTTTCCGGGTTTTTCTAACAATTCAGGGGAAAGAAAACTATCGAAACTAAGCCTTGGAAAAGACAGTTGAAAATTTTTTTTCCCCTCCCTCCCTCCCTTCCCTCCCTCCCTCCTTTGATTTTTTCCATGGCAATTTCATTTTATGGTTTAGTTAAGTTTCCTTCGGGATATTCCTTGAAGAAATACTCTCGTGAGAATTTTCCTTTTTTTTTTTTTTCACTTCAATTTTTATTCACTTTCGTTATGTCAAACCAATTTTTTTTTTTTTACAATCGTTTTTTCCCTCCTCCCCTTCGATTTTTTTATTTTTAATAATAATAAAATTTAAATGAAAAAAAAATTTTTTACCCTTGGCTCTGATGATAATAACAACAACAACCGACAACAACAACACGTACGGGAAAACATTTTAAAAATGGCGTCGGTTTGTTTTTATTTATAGAAATGGAAATACCTTACGTAATTAAAAATACAATAGATGCACCTGATTTAAGAGAAGAACTTGGTGCTCAGGGTTCATTAAGAGAAACAGAAAATGATGGAACGAAAGATGATGATGATGATGATGACGGTGATGATGATGATAATGAATTTAATAAAAGAAATAGTGGAAATGTTATTTTTTATTACGGTGGTGGTGGTGGTGGGAGTGTTAGTTATATCGGTGCTATTTTAATCATAACATTATTTTGTAATTATTAAAATGGCCAATTATTAAAATAAATATGTATGAGTGATTATAAATAAATTAATTAATTAATTAATAAACTCGTTATTAATTGTTATTAGATAATTATAGAATTTCAACAAATTTTTTTGGGCTTCAAAAAAATAAATAATAAATTTTTTTTGTCATTAATTAATAATTAATTAATTAATTGTGTAAAAAAAAAAAAAAAGTTTACCAAATTTTAGATGATAATACAATCATTATTTCCCCCCCCTTTTTTTAATTTATCATCATCATCATTATTATTATTATTATCGTTTTCTTTACATAAAAAAAAAAATTTTATCAATTTTGTTAAAAATTAATTTTTTTATTTAAATTGTTTGTTGGTTTTTTTTTTTCGTTAAAGTTATTCCTGCTCAATCGAAAATAATAATAATAATAATAATAATAATAATAATAATAAAGATAATAATAATAATTTTTCGAACCTGAAAATTATTAATTTTATAATTTTAAATCGCAATTAAATAAATAAAAAAATGAGTACTTATTTTATTCAAAAGCTTTTGTGTAAATTAATTAAAAATTTTTTTTTTTTTTTTTTTAGTTTCCTTTTCGCAATAGTTTTAATAATAATAATAATTAATTTTTATTTGTTAATTTATTATTATATAATTAATTAAAAATTGTAAAAATTTAAATAATTGGCCAAAAATTTTTATTTATTTTTATTATTTATTAATGAGATTTGAGAAAAAGGCTGTGATGAACGATATAAATATATAAATAACATGTATCATAATAATAATAATAATAAATTCTTTATAATTGTCATCATTCTTGTAAATAATATTTATTATTTAAAGTATCATCATCAATTTATATACTCTTTTTTTTTATTAAAAACCTATAATTTACATTTTATTCTATTTATTTATTTTATTTATTTATTTTGCATTATTTGTTTTAAATAAATAAAATAATAATTTTCTATTATAAGTTTTTTTTTAACAGTTCTTATTTTTTTTCTTCTTCGAATAATTAACAAAAAAAAATTAATAAAATTATTATCGTAATTATTATTATTATCGTTGTCATTAATAATAAAAAAATAATAATAATAATAAATCTATTTAAGAAAAAAATAAAAAAACAATAAAAAATGTTTAATTTAAAAAAAATACAATAAAAATTTATTTATTTATTTTTATCTCGATAGCAGAAAAATAATTTAATAATTTTTTATTCTGGCCATTTACTTTATTTATTTATTTATTCGTTTTTTCTATTATTTGTTAATAACAAATAATAATACTACATAAAATATATGTATAGTATAAAGCAAAGTTTTTTTATTAATTTTTTTTTTGGTATTTTTTCTAGTTTTCTGTGTGTGATAATAATAATAATTTAATTTTTTTTTCTTTTTTTTTTATAATCAGTTTATTTATTATTAAAATATAAACTTTATTTTGAGCTTAAAAATTACCTCATCATAATATTATAATATATATATATATATTTAATATAAATTTCAATCAAATTTTTATATATATATATTATATATTAATAAAATTAAAACAAAAAACTTAAAGGGAATAAAAAATTTTTGTAACTTCGATCGATAATTTCCTTTTTTGGGAAAAAAATTCGTTGTAAAATTTTATCATTATTATTATTATTATTATTATTAATTTTTTTTTAAAACGAAATTTATAATAATAATAGTAATAAATTTAATAATAAATAAAATGCAAATAATTTATTTGAGAATTTTACGCGCGCGCTTAGAAAAAATTTAAAATTTTTTTTGTTAAATTTAAATTTAATTATCAATAATAATAATAATAATAATTTTTAACGTAAAATAATTTCTAGAAAAATTTTTTCAACTATTAATTATTATTATTATTTTCTTAATATGAGTCGATCGATTTATGCTCAAATCCTTTTTGGAATTAATAAACGATTTTATTTATAAATTTTCAACCTACAATAAATAAATTTTTTATTTTTGTTATCAAAAATTATCAGCTTCCTTCTTCGTCAATATTATATTCTTCTGATTCTCTGTGTACGAGAGCATGAACGATTGTAGAATCGACGCCATCTTTCGATGTTGAACGTGGGATTTGAATGGGTTTTTCCGGTTCGTTTGTCGGACGAGAAAGTTCCGTCGGTGAATTTTTTTTTGTAAATGATTTCGTTAGAAAAATATTAATGTCGCTCGGAATAACTTGTTCGGCTAATATGGATATTGTTCCGTCGCTGTCCTGTTGTAAAACTTTTGTCTTTTCCGGTTTTTTTATTATGAATTCTTTTGGAGGTTGTTTGGGTGGACTGTTTTTCACAGCGTGCGTTGATTTTTCACGTACGCTTCGTCTTCTTAATATTTCGGATGAAGGCAAAATTAATTTTTTATCTTTACTACTACTACTACTACTTCCTCTTCTATGTATTATGTTAAAACTTCTTCTTCTTGTTATCGATAACGGAGTTAAAAATTGAGGAGGTGAAGATATTTGAACTTTTCGATCATTTTCTTCTTCTTCGGGTTTATCCGGTGATGCTTCACTTATTGTTATGCAAACATCTCCTTTCACCTGTAACGGTCGAAAAATAAAATTTAAGCAAAATATAATTTTTTTTAAAATAAAGAATATAAAATTATTTTACCTCTTGATCTTCGGGTCTTTGCATATTTGTACTTCCTAATAGTAATAAAGGCAAATTTAACCACGGTCCTCCAATATCGGACAAATCGCTGGCTTCCGATGCTCGAGATGATTTCCTTGAGCTTGCTCTGCTGCCACGATGTACGTTCAGAAAAGCAGAAAGCCTTCCCTGCCATCCTCCGGGACTGGAAGTTTGAGTTACTTCATCTTCCAAATCTTCTTTTTCTTTTTCTTTTTTCCTCCTTAAAAAAATTAAAAAGTTGTTATTACGCATTTAAATAAATAACATCATAGTTAAAATTTTAAAATTTGTTTACTTCATATAATCAAGAAATGTTTTTTGTATCAATCTTGCTGCTTTATCTTGTCTTTTCCAAATCCTCGTCGATGAAACAATTTCTAGTTCTTTTCGCGTTGGAAACTGCTTTTTGAATTTAACATCCATTTGGTCTTGAAGCTTAAATTTAATATTAGAAAAATTAGGCAAAATAATTTTATTTCTAGAATAAATTCTATTTTTTTTCTCACCTTTTTAAAATCGTCCGTCTCTTCGACATGACCTAAAACATGTTTTACTAACGCGTGTAAAATATCAAGACAATGAATTTTATTTCCACGAGCAATCGGAAGATTGAAACTGACCAACGCGACTATATTCGGTTTGGATATACCCAATGGAGGATCTAAACTTGCTATAAAATCTGATAGTTGATTAAATCTTATAAACTGCGTAGCATGAGGATCGTACCTGAAAGAAAAAACATAAAATTTACGAAAATGTTAAATGTTGTCATATTGATTTATTAATTTTATCGACTGACTTTGACCATCTTATGTAAAACATTTCCAAATCATCTTCGACAATTCCAATTTCTTCCTCTTGGTGCGCCTGATTAAAATTTTCTAATATAATGGCTATGTACATGTTAATAACAATCATGTAATTAATTATAATAAAACTTGTAAAATATGTTATGGCTAATAATGGGTAGCCACAATCTCCGTTTGCGCTCGTGTGTGTTTGAGGATTGCAATCGGGTGGCTGAATCATGAGTGATTCGAGAACATCGTTCCAACCTGCTGAAGTCATTAACCTGAAATGTAAAACGTTTAATTAAAAACAATATAATTTTAATTTAAGAAAGTTTGTGTTCATACCGTACCTAAATAACAATTGCATGCTTCTGCCAAAAGTTTCAAAATTAACAATATCATCTAACGCTCCCTGACGTTTAACATGGCCAAATATTGACATTCCAATTATAGCATATATAAATGTTATAAGTGATAACAAAGCTCCTATGTTAAAAAGAGCCGGAAGAGAAACTACCAAGGCAAAAAGTAATTTTCTTATTCCTTTGGCAGCCTTTAATAATAAAAAGTTTTTTATGTTTTTTTGCAGTTGAAAAAATTTTCAACTCACTGACAACGTTCGTACCTTAATTAATCTTAAAATTCTTCCTATTCTAAAAACTCTAACAACCCGTAGTAATGTTGGAGATATTGGAAAATCAATCATAATATCTTCCATTAAAATCCCTAAAATTGATGCTAAAACTAATAAAAAATCAAATACGTTCCAAGGAACGGTAAAATAGTGATACCGTAATCCGACAATTTTAACCAAGGCCTCTGTAATAAACAGTAAACAAAAAAAAATTAGAAAATGAATATCGAGTAAAAGTAAAACGGATTTTATTGTTGTAATATTACAAAAAAAAAAAAAAACGAGTAGTACCAAGTCCGAAAACGGTAGTAAAAAATGCATTACTGACTTCTAAAACGAAAAAAATAGCATGGGGTTGATCGTAATGTTCTACCGCCATTGTAACCATATTTAAAAATATTAAAATAAAAATGGCGATTTCAAATCTTCTTGAATTACTTAAATCGTAAAACATGGCTAAAAATTTATTTAGAGGTCTGTGTATGACTTTTTGAGGTTTTTTTCTTCCTAATTTTTTCATGGCGGTGTAGTAATGCTTTTGAGATTCCGTGAGAAACATTTCTAAAACTCCTCCTTCGTACTAAAAGACAAAAATTATATATTTAGTTTAGGGAAATGGTTAAAATTTAACGACTAAAAAATCATGTCCACCTTTTTTTTAAGCATGTTAAAATTGTCAATTATAACTCCGATGAAAAGATTAAGAGTGAAAAATGAACCGCAAACGATAAATATAACAAAATATAAATACGCGTATAAATTTGCTTCTCTTTGAGGTTGTAAATCTTCACCTCGTGCATCAACAGCATCCGCCATGACTTCCATCCAACCTTCAAAAGTAGCCTGAAAATTTTTCATCGTTTGTTATAATCATAAAGACTTGATATGTTTCATATAATTTACATTAGGAAACTTACAACTTGAAACAAAGCTAAATACGCTTGCCCAACATGATCAAATGTAATTTTAGAATTTGTCCAAGTGTAATTTTTATACAAGCACTCAAATTTATCATTCACAACCTGAAATTTAAAAAATAAAAAAATAAAAGTTTATATTCTGATCTGCAGCTTAATATTTTATTTTTTTATATTATTCCACAAAATAAAACAAACTAACATTAACTGGAAGCAATTCTCCATCTTCATCAATGCATTTAAAAAATTTCCCACCAAAAAATTGAACTCCCATTATTGAAAATATCAACCAAAAAACTAAACAAACTAAAAGAACGTTAAAAATAGAAGGTATTGCATACATAAGAGCATTGACTACAATCTGAAACAAAAAAAAAAAAATACAGGATAAAATTTATCGTTAAATATAATATTTAAATTTTTAAAGAATTTTATAATTCACAAACCCTCATGCCCTGCCATCTTGATATTGCACGTAACGGTCTGAGAGCTCTCAAAGTTCTCAAAGAACGTAAAACTTTTAAATTTTCATTTTCTTCAATTAACAAACTAAATATAGAAACCTAAAAAAAATATAAAAAAATAAATATTTTTAAAAAAAATTTAACAATTTAACCGACGGTAAAAAAAAAAAATGAGTCTTACAAAAACAATAATAAAATCTAATATGGTCCAAAAACTGGTAAAATATTTCCAAAAACCCAACGCGACCCATTTTAAAAGCATTTCAATTGAAAACAACGCGCAAAAACCTAAATTCGTCCAATAAAGAATATTTTTTAATACTTTATTATTATCTAAATAAATATCTTCAAAGCACAACGTGATTGACGAAGAAAAAATTAAAACTAATATTATCCATTCGAACGTTGGAGTGTCCACAACCGATAAAACCGATCGTCTGCAATTCGTCCATTTTTTACCCAAATCGGTTTCCATTAAATGATTACAACAAGCAGACCTAAAACAAAATTTTTTTTTTTTAAATTAATCATTTGAATTTACTCTCATCTAAAAATTACAAAAAAAAAAAAAAAAAAAAAAGTACCTTTGATAACAATGTTTTGGAAAACAATCCTGTGGATTTTTATTTTTCTATTTCTACCAAAAGAT